TGCTGTAATTTACTCCGGTTTGATGTTCACTGTCTTTATTACATCTCAGAAAGCATCAACACACCTCACCGGCGAGTACAATGCAGCACACAGACTGATTATTTTTGCTAGTCAAGGTTTTACTGTGTTGATAAAGGCAAAACAGGGCCACAATCGACAGCGTACAACTACAAACAAAACATCTGATCATCTTCACTTCAACAATGGGAAAAAATACAACAGGCTAACATTTCGGTCACATTTAAAGTCCTCATATCTTCTTGAAAGCTCTTAGTACACCCGACAAACAAGTTGATTGTTCACGCATCATTGTCAGAACAGAAATCGATTATTCAACTTAAGTATTTGTGTTCTGTGTTTTTTTCATAGCCACTCTTAACCTTAGTGTGAAGAACGCTGTCGTCATCATCCAGTACTGCTCTGTTGTTATAATGAATTCTTACATTTCTCTCAAACAAATACGGGAGCATTACTTTTATATCTTCTATATCCAGTATATAATACGCATTTTAATGAGCAGATGCATCGAGCTAAATGGTGCTAATGTAAACCTTTTAAAGCTCATTTTTTTACAAAAATAAATATGCGGACCTTAGCTCATGGGCACAGCAAGTGAGAGCACATAAACACGTCACACAAATTTGTCCCCCCTGCATTTCATTCCCTGACGTGGAGATTAAAGGAACGCAGTCATGAACAACGTCATCTTTTATGCCCCCCCCCCGTCCCCACCATCCTATTCCTCCGGTGTGTCACACTCTGTGCCATGTTTGTGAATCATTCTTTTGCCCGGTGCTCAAGTGAAAGGTGTGCTCATGTCACCTTTGCCATTCATCATGCAGGCATCTCTCACGGTAACTTATCTTCAAAGACATGCCATGCGATTCTCCCTTTATTTTCTGCAAGGATGGCTCCACATTCAAAAGATCCACTACACCCAAAATATTCCATATACATATTTCAGGCAAAAGCTGAAATACAAAAAAATATATATAAATCACTTACAGATACTTTTAATGTTTATAAATCATTTAGAGGTGATTAAAAATTTTACATATGCATGAGACTTTTTCAGTAAACACTCAGAATACAGTCCATGAAATTTCAATATCCTTTTTTCATCAACAGCTGTGATAACTCCACTGCTGGATGAAGGCTTCCCCACATCATAACCATCCATTGGTCTTGTGATAACAAAATTCACCAAGCTCCTACTCGTGAGTTTAATCTCATCAATCCATCTCGTGGGAATCATTCCTCCTTTGACTGCCATTCTGTCACTAATCTCATCCATCGACCCATCATCCATTCTCGAGATGATGTCCTATCAGGCCCACTTATTTCTTGACAGGCCATATGTCCCTAATTATTGCTTGCCCTTTCATCCATATCTTCCTCTTTTCGTCTATCCAAGGACTTATCTCCAAGAACTCATCTCCAAGGACTCATCTCCCCATGCTTTTTTTCTACACTCATCAGTTTTTATTTCATCTTCCTTGCCAATGTCAAATAGTTTGATTCATGTCATAGCAGGCAATCTATACTGATTGAAAACTTTCCTCTTCAAGCACACTAATTTGTTGCTTTACGTTATAAAAATAAACTTGATAAAAGCAGTGCAACCTGCTCTCACATACCACTTTATTTCATTATTTTGATCCTGATCCACTATCGATTGCCCTTGATATATGTATTGTTGTGCTTTCTAAGTGCGTCCCTACAACAATTTTTTGTATTTTGTTCAGCCAAACTTGTATATGCACGGGTGACCACCATGCATGCCAAGTTGTTACAGACAACTATGGGGCAGTGCAACCACGTCTCAGAGAGCAATGCACCGATTAGAAATTGTACAATATTTATATGCTCCCTGCCTTCACCAACCCACACTGACCAGCATGGTGAAGTATGGTCAACCTACCACCACAACCCTACATGGCGTGGAAAGGCCTTCATCCAGCAGTGAATTGACAAAATTGTGTTATTATATATAAATCGAGTACTTTATTAACAAAGATCTTACCAAGCTAATGTCAATACTTGCGGTGTTAGATTAAAACACTAAAAAAATCCAAATAGGACTACTACCCTGTGTCCATTGCTGCACGCTGCACTAACTGGGCTACACTTTTATCAGCGGATACCAAATGAGCAAATACGTGCTTTGTCCTCGGCAAAATTGTATACTTCGGGACGTTACACTGCAGGCTGGCGGCGGTGACACGTTCGCCGTGGGACTTGGGGGCTCTCGATGATGGACAGCGCTCACGCATTAATTAGCCGATAATGCTCGGATTTATATGGGAGGATTACAGCTATGGCAGTGTTAATCCAAATATTATCAGCTGGGAGCCATGGATGTTGCATTATCCGTAGAAGGTACCTTTGTTGAAATAAATTATTTACTTTGATGTTGAGCATTTTATTTATATTTTTGTTTAAAATCAACGATTATTTAGAAGGTGCGATTTTAATTGTATTAATTGGTACTGACGTACAGTATTTGAACTTCAGTAAACAGATACATTATTAACAAACAGCTAAATTATTGTTATACACGATGGCTATAACGGATTTTTAAAAGTAGGTACGGTATACAAGAAAAATGGTAAACCTTCTTTATTCGGCTTTAGGGACATGTTAAAATCAATAAATGTAACCAACGGCCACACATTGCTTTGGACTTTAAACTTCAGTCACAGCAAAAAATGTTTTTAACAATATCAATTGCTTCAATAGCTTTTCTGTCACATTGACAACTCATGCAGGGGGAGCAAGGGGGCATTCAAGTGAAATCGGAACAAATCATTGGACTTCAGCCTCTCAACATGAATCAGATGAATAAGCCACCTAAGTAAATGGCACAAGTATGTAATTGCACGCTATGTTTCTTGATGACGTTCCGCTGCATTAGACTGATTTGAAAAATAGAACCAAAATATACCACACATTTTAAGTCAGTGTGTGTGCTACATTCACAAAATTTGACGGGGGGGGGGGGGGGATACAAAAATTAATTGTGTGCGAGACACACAAAAGAGAGACACATTGAACCAATTAACACTCACAAATCAGAGACGCCATATTGACCATGAAGAAAAGTAAGCGAGCTTGGGCAGCAGCACACGTCACTCCAAGGAGTGATGTCTTATGGTTGAGCCTAACGGCAGTGGCAGCCAAAGGGGACAGGACCCACTGCTGAATGAAGGCCTCCCCATGCCATGTTAATTATAGGAGTTGTTCACCATCCTTCACCATGCTGGTGAGTGTAGGTTGGTGAAGGAGATGAGGGGAGAAGGCACCAGAACCAGTTCAGGTATCACTCATCACGGATGTCGCTCTGAACGGGAATCGAACTCAGGTCACAGCACGCTAATGACTGAACTATCGCCCCACTCAAAGTGTGACATACGAGGATAAAAAATAACTCTTGAGAGTCCAGATGAATAACATATGGACAATGGCATGTGAGTGATTTGATGAATGAAAATACGAGGAACGTGTCACCTGTAATCATCAAAAAACCCTGATAATTTGAAATGTGGGTTTAAATCGGATTCTAACATGACACCAAAATAGAGCAAAGACCAGGGCACCTTTTGCACATAATGGTGTCACCAGTAGCAGTTACTTTAAGTTGATTGCCATGCATTGTGGTCAATGACAATTTACGCAGGACAATTATAGGACTTTTTCAGGAGGGTCCTGCAAGATGTTTTCAGCCAATATACAAGTGGGAGAAACCCGGAACACCCGGAGAAAACAGACGCATGTGAAGGGGCAACCCTCCTATCTCCATACAGATGGAAAGAGATGGTGATTAGTCCACCTGCTGTACTGCCGTCTCCTGGCAAGCCACAGCTTGGCACATCGAAACCCATGGAAAGGGAGTTTCAGAACATTTGTTTAATCGACCAACCTTTACCTCGAGTGCTGGATTGCAGGCACACGTAACTATCACTGCCCGACAAAAGAATTATCATTGCACACCAGTGTCATAGTAATTAGTGGCAGAGCGAATGGCAGACAGCACTCAAACAACTCTAAGAACAACTGTGCAGCAGAGTGACTGGCAATGGAATGTCGCAATGCCAGGACATGATCCATGCCAAACTGTTGCCCCCAGGTAAGACAAAGTTGGCTCAGTACAATGCTGACACAACTTAAAGAAACCCATGCCTTACAAACAATGTGGAATAATGTCCTCACACAAGCAGCTACCAGATAGAAACACATGATGAAGGTATATCCATCAAATTTCCGTTCCAGATTCCACCACAAAGAGTTGCTTATACATTTATAATAACTGCAAACGTAAGGGTATTTTCTATAAAGATGACTCCGTGTAAATACATATTCTGAGAAACATCTGCTACACTCAAGCAATGTTATGCTACACAATTTGATATAGCAATATATAAAAATGTGCATGCACTTTTATTAACTAGGCTACATCAAAATGGGAAAGGACATATATGAACGCCTGATATTTATATTTAAAATGAGAAATTACAGCAAAAGCGACATTTGTCATCGGAAAACAGTTGAAATAATGTATTCATAATTCTGACATATATTTTTGCAAATAAGGATTAATTGAGAAGAGTTAGCAAACAGTGAATAGCGTTAACTGTAAGACCAGTACATTAAGTAATGAAAATTGGAGGCAATTATATAATTATGCCCTTATTATTCTTATAATACACATACACAACCTCAAAATCAGGACACTTGCCACTAAGCCAATCTGGACAGGTGAGATGGGTTTATTCCCAGTCTCTTCCAGAGATTCTGCTCAGCACGTTGTAAGTGTAAGTGTGCAAAAAAAAACGCATGCATGCTGATGTAAATCTGCGTGAAAGCCCAAACCCCCAAACTAAAAAATTACCTAAATTTATAGAGGAAAAATATGCTAATGCAGGTCTCCTTTGCAAACGGCAGAATTAATCTCCAAGTACTCGTCCCTGCTGATAAATGTGGTAATGATTAATTGAGCTCACCTCCCATCCTTGGCTGCTGCCCATGCTCCTTCTTCTCCTCGCACTTGTTACACTCGCTGAAGTACAGCAGCAGGAGGACATCCACCAGCACCCACACCAGCGATGTGGCCAGAACAACCTTGCAGTACGCAAACTTCCTCATGGCTCCGTGGACGGCTCAGGCTGAGAACGCAGAAGGGACGGCTCGATGTGGCTCGCGTGAAAGAGACCTGTTCAGTTGGGAAAGGTGTTGGAACACGCAGATTTGTTTGGTCAACGCACTTCTAGGATGAAAACTTATTTCTTTAGAAACATACACACATAAAATGAAAGGGAAACTGCGCATTGGCGCCGTTAATTACCACCCATGGTCCTAATCTGTGCATAAACTAAGTGAAATTGTAATTGCCTGCTACTGTTGAACAGGATTTTTTCACAGAGTGAACACAATTAATTATCAAAGCCAATGACCTGTATTGAGCTGTAATTTTAGACAAAACGATTAGATGTTGGTAAAAATGGCTAGAGTTTACCACCACCCTCAAGAGAAAATTAAGGTGCCTTTGTTTCCTTGGCCAAGTCTGTCAACAAGACCTTTGTTTGAAAATATAGAATTTTAAAAAACACACACGTATGATCCCTTCTTCACTCATTGCACAATTTCACATTCAGTATTAACAACGTAGTGCATTCATATTCTGCACATCACTCAGGGACTCGATATGAACACACTGCGCAGTGGAAAGCAGCGTGATGAATAAAACCATCAACCCACAGCAGTAATGCAATGTCATTCATTAACACACAAGTCTGTCGCTTCACTTGCAAAGAAAATTGCACGAACCAATTTTATATTTGCATGCTGTCTGAGAGAGAAAAGTAGGCACCCACACACAATATGTTCAGCTCAAGCACTACATGTACAGAATTTGTTCATGCTCAACAGTTGACTTTGCGGTTGCATTTTTTTCTTTTCTTTTCTAAAATATAATCACCTACAGTAGGTGTTTTGGATGCCAGTCTTATATAACCGTGTCTGCAGAAGCACCCGTCTGACAGGAAAATTGTGAGATGAAACATCTCCAGGCAACAAGTCTCATTATCCACATATAGGAACAAAGGAGCGCACTGCTCAGATCGCATTGCTCAACTGCTGCCCTTTCATATCAATCAGCTGCAACAGAAGCATACCACCACGTTGCTGCGTACCCAGATGGTAGCAAGTGGATAATTTAAATGTCATTTTATCTCACAAATCTCACACGTAAGGCTTCGGCATTTCCCCCCCACCCCCCACACAATTATTCTAGAGTGGCATGGTGTCCATCAACAAATGTACTCACAATAAGTGACCTTTCACACACATTATACGGGTATTTTGCGGGAAGCAGTTGAAAACATCTTACAATTAAATAAAAACAAACAGGTACAAACTATCTTCTTGGTTCTTTCGGTAAAGTCACGTATTATTACTACTTCCCTTCTACGTGACTTTACCGAAAGAACCAAGAAGATGCATCCCTGCAGTCACGAAAGCTTTAAATCGAAAAGGTACAAACTATATTTGACCGGCTGAACGGGATAAAAAAAAAAGACAATGTAAAGGCACTTTTTTAAGTTTGTACTTTTCCCTCAGTTTTAAAGGCACTTTGAAAGAAAATCCTGTCAGTTATAACACTTGGCCAGCCAACGTGTGTGCTTGTGGCAATTATTTTTAAAACACGAACGTGGTCTTTATTCGACAATGAAACTATCTGAGCAGCTGAAAGAAATGAACCATTATAAAATCACTCCGCCTGGCTTGATAACATCTGTGTCTTGGCCAGAGCCACTCCCAACACTCATGCAGCACATATCGGAAGCTAATTTGCCAACATCTCAGCAGGCATCAAGTACAACTTGAAGCATCAGCAATGCACACACTTGATCTTCATAAAACAAACTGCATTATTCACACACCACTGCAGCAAAGCTATTCAGCGTGAATGGCGTTTATTACAGCACAACAGGGAAATCAAGCAAAATTGTTTCATGGCTTCCAATTACTTTTAATGCATTATATGCTGTAGAGCATTGTTCTCTTCTTGCAATATAACTATTCATTTATTATTATTACATTACGATTGTTATTTTTGGTGAACAGTTAATGCGAAAAATAATTAATTAGATTTAATATATAATATTGATCGGCCTCATTCACTTGGTATACGCAACCTCATCAAGCACCATTATGGCTTTGAACTGTGTGCTTGGATAAATCCCTCATGTCATTGCTTTTGATTAACAATGCTTATTTTTTGAGGCAGTATTAGGAGGTACACCATCGTGCGTGAGTGGTGTGCTCCCCATGTCAGAGGCGTATTTTCATCTGACTTGCACTGACCAGGGTGATGAAGTATATAGTCACATATTATTCCATAATGGTCGTGAGGGCCTGAACCACGGTCATCAGCAACTGTGGGTTCACTAAGCTTTGCGTCGACAGAGAAGGTGAAGGAACACAGGGGGTGTTATAATAAGCAGTGGGTAGGAACAAGGCACCTTCTTTTATCTGACCATTGCTACATAACAACACATGAACTCGACCCGAATAATCAAACCTTGTTGAACTGGAGACAGACTTGAGAGAAATGGACGTACGTTGATTCGGTGAGGTGAGAAAGAGAGAGAGAACTCCTTACATCTGAAAAGTGTCTGCTGAGTCTATCTTCGGTAGAGACAAATTACAGTAATTATGGAAGTGGAATTTTAGTTTCTCCGGAAATCAAACATGTAATTTTAGGATTCAAGAATACATTGGATACAGTTTCTCAGCTAATATTAAAGCTCTCCAACAATGACTTAAACATTATTTAAGTAGATCATGGGACCTCCTTTGTCAGTACCAAAATATGAGAATAGATTTTTCCCCTTTTATCAGTTTTGTTGCCAGATAGAAGGGTAAAAAACCAATTATCATATTTTTACTGGCAAATGAGGTTCCAATGGTGTAAATGCTTACCCCGAGTTCTCATACTCTGATGGTGCATTGTCTTTGAGTTGTGCGCCTTTTGGCGTCATCTGGTCCAACCCATGTGAGACTAGGCTCTAAGGAAAGCTGTCTCGGGTGTGGACCAATCACCCACCTCTCTCTCTCTGCCCCCCCCCCCCTCTCTCTCTATTTAAGGCCTCGACACAGAGGCATTGGGTCTCTGTGTGTCTATGTTGTGTCTCTCGCTGTGTGTCTGTTGTCTCTCTCTGTTTGTGTGTCTGTCTGTGTGTCTCCGTGTCTGTGTTTTGTCCCTCTCAAATTTAGTTCCACCTGATGACGGTTGTTTGTGTTGCAATCGAAACGTCGTATTCTATTTAATTTATTTTCTTTCTACGTGACTTTACCGAAAGAACCAAAGCATATATGCATTGTCTTTGAAACTGATTGGTCCACACCAGAGACAGCTTTCTTTTGATCCTCGTCTCAAACGGTGCTATAACAGAGGACGCCTTTTGGCCTTTTGGTGTCCAGCTTTCTTTTGATCCTTGTCTCAAACGGTGTTAGAACAGAGGACGCCTTTTGGCCTTTTGGTGTCCTCTGGTCAAACACCGATTGAGACGAGGCTCAAAAGAAAGCTGTCTCTGGTGTGGACCAATCAGTTTCAAAGACAATGCATATATTATCAGAGTATGTTTTTTGTTGTGTGTCTCTCTGTGTGTCTGTGTTGTCTCTCTCTGCTTGTGTGTCTGTCTGTGTGTCTCCGTGTCTGTGTTTTGTCTCTCTCTCAATTTTAGTTCTACCTGATGACGGTTGCTTGTGTTGCAATCGAAACGTCGTATTATATTATTTAATTTATTTTCTTTCTACGTGACTTTACCGAAAGAACCAAAGAGTAATTCCTGCAGTCAAGAAATTTTCAAATCAAGTTTCATGCATATATTATCAGAGTATGTTTTTTTGGCATTTTGACCACAAGTATTGTGGTTAATGCAGGCATGATTCCTTGTAAAAGGTTTCAGTTTGGTATTTTAACAACTTAACACCTGTTTTGTTGCCAGATAAAATGGGAAAAAAATATTCTCATATTTAAGTATATGTTCTAAAAATCCTTGAATATGTAAACATATAGCAAATGTGTAAATAAATTAACATTTCAATGAGACATCATTATGGGTGATGTCAACATTTTGACACAAAAGTGTTTAACATGAGCATGGATGACATGATGTTGGTAAGTTTGGCATTGGAATGAGGATTGACAAAGAGCATCTATTGGCATTTGCAGTCAACGTGGGTAGTAACATTATATCAAAAAGGAGTCTAGGAAAGGGCCACGGAGGAGCCCAAATGGAGGAATTAGAAATTAAACGAACTCAGAGACAAACTCCAGGTTGTCAGACACATCTCTATCCTCGCCAAATTCAACACGGGAAGTGCTCGTAGGTGATACAATTCAACTTACACTTAAATGTAGCCAAAGGGAGGATAAAGCTAATCAGAGGCAAAAAAGGCAGTTCACATCAAACATCTCAGTCAGGAGGTAGCAGAATTCAGACAAGCTTTAGGGAAATGGATGTCTCCACTTAAAATGATTAAATAATTTCCACCTTTAAAAGAGTGCACTAAACACGTTATTTTGTAACCACAAAACATGTGATGAAGAGGAGAGATACGACATGGACAAATATGCCAAGCAAAAGATCGAAAACACAACTATGTAAAACTATCAATTAAAATCGGAAAATAAATCAAAGTGCATAACAAAAATAATTCAAGATGTCATAGCAAACAATGGGGGCTTAAAGCAACAACATGGAAGTTGATGGCTGGTAATTCACAAATGGTACATACCACACCAGGGATAGAATCCTGAAATTAATAGAGGAGGTTTAAGTTCTCTAAAGAGAAAAAACACATCCCAGGAATAAAAGTACTTTATTTGTCGGATGAAGAGAAGAAAGTACAGTATCATAAGTAACACTTGAAAGTAGTGAATACTGCTCTTGGCAGTGTGAAAAAAGATAAAGCTCCTGGACCAGAAAGAATAACTTTGGAAATTATCAAATAAGCAGAATCGGCAGTTGTAAAAAAATAAATTGCAGACCTATCTACCGCATTCTTACAAAGCAATTAAATTACTCAGTCATGGAATGATGCCTCAATCATTATTCTATATTAAAAAAATTTTGAGACAAATTGACTTACAGAGTTACAGACAAATATGCCTTTGATTTCGCACACAGAGTATTCAATAAGTTG